GGCAAGGTGTTGTAAAATAATGTGCATGTATTATATGTGAATTTTTTGTAGTGAGCTGTTGATACTGTTACCTGATGAAGATGATTACTACGTAGAGTGTTGTAGTTTGCTGAAAATATATTCCAACCCACCCACCATTCCCACCTAAGTAATTTTTGACAAAAAACACTGATTCATATATGAAGAGACAAGGTAATGGTAAAATACCTAGACTAATAAAGAGAGGCTTACAAGAATCACGTGGGCGGGGAATGTTAATTATTCGTACTATTGTTTTTAGTAATCTAAAAGTCTAGGAGCCATAAGATGTATTTCTCCAGAATATTATGCCATATCTCAGGCGGGAATGAACATTCGCGAAATATACACAACGAGCAGTGTGTAGGCTGAATTTGAAGAAATTCTGAAAGCATTGCGTAAATTACTTAATTCAGTGTTCACTTCATTTAAATGGACGTCCCATTTAAGGTTTGACTGAATCGAAAGACCTAAACATTTTGTTACCTTAACATCAATCAATGGCACACGGTTTATTTTCAGTGAAGTTAAGAGCTGTTTTTTTGAAATGGAAAACTGCATTGAAACAGTTTTCTTTTCATTTACTATTAATTTGTTATTATGGAACCAATTTGAAATATCTGATATTGTACTATATCATGTGAAAACAAACGAATTCTTTCTTTCATTTCTAAGCACCATAACGTACCTCAAAGTTTCTTCCTCTACTTTAAAAAATACAAATCATTATTAAGAAAAGTCACAAGGCATGCAAAATCATGAATATTTCCATATATTTTCAAAACAGAAAAAATTAGCCACTTTTTAAAAAAGGAAACAAAAAAATTCAAAATTTCTTTTTTCAGCATTCTCAAAAATATGAGAGGCCTTACTACACGCGAATAGTAAACCTTTTCAGGAAAAACGAAGCATTTTTAGTCTCACAAGTGGGATTTAGAAAATAAAAACAACGGAAATTGCATTTTTTTTTCCTAAAGACATTGATGGACCAACATGAAGCACATATTGGACAATTTTTGACTTTCGAAAGTATGTGACGTTCTTGACCATAACATCTTGCTCTCAAAATTACCTCCATATGTAATTCGTGGTATGGCTCTAGATATTTATCATTACAACCAGTGGCAGCTGGTACTTATATTAATGGTGGGATGCATGTAATAAGGGAAAGTGAATTGAGTTATGTTCAATACCGGTGTAGGTCTACCGCGAGCTTTTATTTCGCACTTTCCTTGAAGAGTTAAGCTTCTACATTTCACAGTTTTTAAATATTGAACAGAATGACTATTTGTATTCATTCTAAACACGTAATAGTGATGCTAAAACAGCACGTACTTTCCCACCCGTATTTTCACGCAAAACTACACAAGTTTTCACCTTTTCCAAAAATTGTACCTGCTCTTATTTCAAAATCTATATTTATGGAAGAGATTTCAGTTAGGCAAACATCTCTATCATCAATATTTTAGTTTTAGGAAGACCCCGAAAAAAGTTTAACATTTGCAATTTTTGAAAAATCAGTTTTTTTATCGAACTTGAGACCAGCACCATTCTCTTAACAAAATTTCTTAAAAATCAATGAAGCCATATTTTTCTGACAATTTTAAGAATGTCCCAAAAATAAAAATATCGGTTTCAAATTCAAGGGTCATCTTTCTGTATTCTTTTGCTTTTTTCAAAAATTACATAAATGTATATTTTTTGAAATATCTCTCATGCCGTTACTATGCACAGTTCCAGCGATTTGTATACACTATTGCATTAGTAAGTAGAATTGCTCCAAATGACTTCAATTGAAGTTTTTCGAAAACTCAAAAGGTTCTTATGAAAAAGAGCTTCAAATTACGCATTTACACTCGAGCATGTTCCTTCACCCAGCTCGCCAGTGGAGGGACACTAGGACTGAAATGTTGACCAATATTTGAAAAAATGTCAATTTTTTTGGTGTGTGTATTAACATTGTATGAAGTATTAGGAATAAAATAAATTTACTTTCGTTCAGTTTTCGCCATTTTTGAAGGGACGGGAGCCATTTAAATGCCCCCGTGTGCTTGAGTTTAATTGTTCCAAACGCCCGTTTTAATAGTTCGGGTCCCAATCAAGTACGAATAACTCATCTTCCGTAGAAGTGTGTTGTAGCACTTCATATGATCTGTCGGGTGAACTACAATTGTAACAACTAGAGTAGCCACTGAAGCAAACCAATTTTGGTATATATCTTTTGATAAATTTGCTTATTCGATGTAATCCTATGATAAATAAAGTGATAAGAATTGTGCGTTGTATTTTTTATTAATACGTATGTAAAAAATAATATTGAAAACTTAATAGTATCTCGTGTGACTTATGTGAAGCACGTGGATTCGTTTACGATACGTGGATTTGTTTGCGAATTTGGCTGTTGGAGACTTTCTGTGATTAGTGCGTGTTTGTTATTTTGACCGTAAGTGTAGTGAAAAATGGATGTTGTAAGTTCCAAGTGGTGCAAACAGAAAGGGAGAATGACGAAAAAGAAAGCTATTTTAAGAGAAAAGGCTCAGCATTGCTGGTGCTGTAAAAAATGTGGCAGAAGTTAATGTTGCCAGAGAACGTTTTTCATCGTCCCAATATGGATTATCTAAACCATCAACTGAAAATACTTTTGATTCTTCAAACACAGTTCTTGAAACTAATGCCGACATATCAAAGAGGGTTCAGAAGTCTTCATATTTTGACACTATTGTATCTGGTAGTAGTGACACAGAACAAAGTACATATTTATTAGTGCATACAAGTGTTTGGGATAATCTATTTGAACATTGTTTTTGTAATGAATGTCAAGAGAAGTGCCTCAAAGTGAAGTTCAGTGAACAACAAGGTTGGGAAGCCAAACTTTCTGTGTAGTGGAGCATATGCATTATCTATTAGTAGAATGCATATTCCAGTCCAAGAATAAAAAAAATGTAACTGTCACCAATCACCTTTTGAAATCAATAATATGTCAGTGCGTGCTTTTGTGGATGTAGGAGGAGGAGACAGAATGATGGAAAATTTTCGATACATATGCAAATGAATGTTATGGACTTTAAAACATTTGCAAAGCACCAGGGCATTTTAGCTTGTGAAAAACTAGAGTTGAAAGAAGAAATTCTCTCCAAGTCAAGATCTGTTGGTAGGAAAGTTCATGAAAACATCAATCCATTTCTTGCTGGGGAAAACATAATTGACATTGCTGTGTCCTGTGATGGGACATGGCACAAAAGGGGCCATACATCATATTATGGGATAGGAGTAGTTATCGATATCCTCACAGGTTTAGTTGTTGACTATAAGGTATTATTGAAGCATTGCTTATTATGTGTAACTACTTCTCATGAACTTGAGGGCAGAATCCTCTGAGTTTGACCTATGGTATAAAGGACACACTACCTCTGGAGAGCTTTGTAAAAATTATAATGGATCATCTCATGCATGGAAGTTTTTGCTGCTAATATTTTGTGGAAGAGGTCCGTCAGTAAATGTGGTATGCGTCATTCAACAGTCGTTTCTGATAGTGATGATAAAACTTTTATTCATTTGGTGAAAGAAGCTGTATATGGACATAATGTCCAAATTGAAAAGGAAGAGTGCATCAACCATGTAGCCAAAAAATGGGGACAGGAATGAAAAATCTGGTTCAAGATTGGTAAAAGAAAAATGTTAATCTTGGAGGAAGAGAACATGTAACACTGAAAAAGACCAATATTTTAAAACTCACAAGTTATTACAGATATGCAATAGTGACAAATATACCTGATGTTCACAAAATGAAAAAAACAATTCTG